TCTTCAAACGAGCTTAATGGAATTTTTCACTAGAGAAGAACTATTAGTCTAGCATTGAAACTGATCTCTCCCCACCAATTTTGAAAGAAGTGGGTAATTTATAATTTCTCCCATTATAGGTTCATAGGTACCTTTGTCTATCGACTTTTTCTTTTCAGATTGTTGTTTTCAGAGATTTTTTTTCGAGAAAGCCCGTTCCTACATTCGTTCGACTGATTTATGGCTATATCTGGAATTAGTTAACGCAGGACCTTATGGCAGAGAAAGAAATGATAGCAGAAAAGGACCTGATGGATCCGTTTTGGATCTCACAGCATTTGCCTTACCGTGGACAACTCAGGTTAGCAAAACAGTTTTATTGGATCAGAAAGTTCGTCAATGGAGAACAGGAGAACTGCTACAGATTGAGGGATCAATCCCTATATTTGATCGCATCATTACTTACTACTCACTCCATTTTCATCTCGTCCATGTAGAAAAATAGGACTATTCGAATTATTCACGTCGGATTTCTATTTTTCTTTCACAAAAAATTCTGGCAGTAACTGTATTTTGACTTCAACCGCACTGCAATGGGCAGAATCCTGAGGCTGATCGCTGTCACCCTTTTTCACACTCCTCAGTTCCCTGGTCTGGTGCAATTTGATAAAATAAGCGAATCCATAGTCGTCCACATTATAAATGGCTCTGTTGACGACATGCAGTGAAAAATGGACATTTGGTTGACATTAGCCTTTTTTCTTTCCAATTCAGAAGAAGTATTCTCCGGGAATATCTTCACAAAGAACAACTTTTCTCAGTAAACGCCATAGACATAGTAGGTTCGGCAACAATCACTAGGTATTGACTGACTAGAGGCAAAGGCGCTACGCGTTGTGGGAGGAATGCTCCAACATCCTGCCACGGTGTCTTCATATCCGATGGGCTCTTGCGGTCCTTGTGGTTCTCATAGTGCGATTTACTCCGACGATGGGCTACGACAACATCCTCTCTTTGAGAGGACGACTACAATACCACTACGAACCACACTGGCAACGAATAACATATATTACACGCCTATGGGACAAACCAACCTCTACCTGTTTCCTGAAGCGATAGCAAACTGTCACCACGCATTATCACTGGACATCTTTGAGACGTTCAGTCGGGGCTACTTTGACGACAACGGTGGTCTTCATTAAGGTTAAGGAGGCTAGGAATGGTGTTGTCTGACCACGTCGGACCGTTGGCGTCGAATAGAGCTGATACGATTCTGACGGACTTTTCTGCAAGGGTAAACACAATCGCGATTACAGTGGGTTGTCAAGTCTCAAGCTACTGTACCTGTGCAATTATATTTACACCAGGAGGATCGCCCGGCTAGCTTCTCCTTTTTGAATGAAAACAGCCTGTTGCCATGGTCTTCTGGTACAGTAGAATGGTAGGTAAAAATTTCCGGCTAAACACACTCACACACATACACCCTCGAAAAATTTCGTGAGCGTCTTGCTCGGCATTGTAAGCAGAGTTTTGCTCCACTAATTTATGTCTGAGTAAACCGGTTCAATTCCGTCGTTTTTCAACTTGGCAGCTCAAATTCAAAGAGATCACGCTCATTTTACGCGCGCTCCGCCCCCGTCGTCGCAGTCTGGTCCTGCCACGAAACGTGAGTGTTTCCATCCTGCCGCCTGTACTCCTATCATGTTTGAATGTCCTAGGGCCAAACTGACAGTTTTCGCGATCCCGCACTCTATTGACGCAGTCCGATCTTGCCACCTACTTTGTGTTCCCATCCTATCTCCCATACTCCTTCCAAATTTGAACGCTCTGGGTCCATTAGGACACGAGGGGTGACGGAACTGCTCCTTGAATTTCCGCGACAAGCGGCAGTGGTTCCGCGACGACAACAGTATCCTTCCATTGGGAATTCAAATCCTTCCCTTAGTAGCGCGCTATCAAGTGCGGCGAGCGCGACACGCCGTTCGGGGAGAAGATACTAGACCCGGACACGAGTTATGAAATTCTATTCAAGCGTAAATTCCGCTTTAACCACATTCATTTTGGGCGGAGTCCGTTCCTTTCACCCACTATGAGTGTTCCAATCCTGTAAACAGTGCTCCTACCAAATTTGAACGCTCGTGGTCCAATGGGACAGGAGTTATGAGTTCGCGGTCACACCCACACACATATATACACTTATATATTATATATGTACCAGTTGGGCTAAACCCCAATGCGTGCACCACATGCCCACGCATACGCCTACGATTAAAAGTGTCAATCGGTTGCTCTTGACCTTGAAAATTATGAATCATTAAAGGTTTTGATAGGCAACCAATGAATTGAGTAATACTCGCTAATGTTCTCAAGTGATAATAACACCATTATAAGATTTCGTGGTGAAAATGTAGTTGGGGGGGCGCCACCCATCCGAAGGTCAGTATATCAAGAAATGAACTCAGTCTAACGTGTTAGCCCTTGTTATATCAGCACTGTATTGGATGCGTAGAGGATGACTGGAATCAACCAGCTCAGCTCTTTTATGCGGTTTCCGCTAAGGAAATTTGGTTTGCCAAATAAGCCTAGGTAGGGTAGGAGCACCTGGGTGGCTAGGATGATTATCTCCTGCAAAAAAAAGGAAGAAAAGAAAGAAAACTTGCCCACCGCGATGCTCCTTTCCTACGAGAGCCCTTATTCAAAAACAAGCATGTCCGTGATATAACACGACATAACGCGTTTCATTGAGTTCATTTCTTGATATACCGACATTGTGATAGGTGGCCCCCCCCCAACTACATTTTCACCGATTTCGTTATCACAGGACCTTCTTTCCTCCTCGGGTACATCATTAGTTGAGAATCCCAAATTATTGGCGGTCGGATGAGCTTTGTCGTAAGTGATATCAAAACATCATGTAACCTTGATTTTCCACCGAGTTACAAACTTGGCTGGGTAGCGGTCGTAGTCTATGTAATAGTCGTAATCATGAATACATCGTAAATACCACAGGTGTTGAATTCAGTTGATAAGTGCTCCTATCAGTCGTTATCAGCTGTTATCAGTTCCTATCATTAGTCGTCTACGATCCTGCCATACTCCACACCACATACCAAGCTGTCAAGGCTCCACTATTAATGCCATTATTATAGTGGCTCTACGCTTTC